CCTCCTCCCCCTCCTTGCCTCTGCTCTCGGCACACCCCTCCCGCGTTTCGTAGCCCCATAGGGAGCTCCACCGAAGGCCCCAGTGGGGGTGTTCGCATGCGGTTCCCCCACCCAGGGCAGCGTTTCGTGGCCCCATAGGGAGCTCCACCGAAAGCCCCAGTGGGGGTGTTCGCATGCGGTTCCCCAACCCAGGGCAGCGTTTCGTGGCCCCATAGGGAGCTCCACCGAAGGCCCCAGTGGGGGTGTTCGCATGCGGTTCCCCCACCCAGGGCAGCGTTTCGTAGCCCCATAGGGAGCTCCACCGAAGGCCCCAGTGGGGGTGTTCGCATGCGGTTCCCCCAGCCAGGGCAGCGTTTCGTAGCCCCATAGGGAGCTCCACCGAAGGCCCCAGTGGGGGTGTTCGCATGCGGTTCCCCCACCCAGGGCAGCGTTTCGTGGCCCCATAGGGAGCTCCACCGAAGGCCCCAGTGGGGGTGTTCGCATGCGGTTCCCCTACCCAGGGCAGCGTTTCGTAGCCCCATAGGGAGCTCCACCGAAGGCCCCAGTGGGGGTGTTCGCATGCGGTTCCCCCACCCAGGGCAGCGTTTCGTGGCCCCATAGGGAGCTCCACCGAAGGCCCCAGTGGGGGTGTTCGCATGCGGTTCCCCCACCAAGGGCAGCGTTTCGTAGCCCCATAGGGAGCTCCACCGAAGGCCCCAGTGGGGGTGTTCGCATGCGGTTCCCCCACCCAGGGCAGCGATTCGTGGCCCCATAGGGAGCTCCACCGAAGGCCCCAGTGGGGGTGTTCGCATGCGGTTCCCCCACCCAGGGCAGCGTTTCGTAGCCCCATAGGGAGCTCCACCGAAGGTCGCAGTGGCACAGCCCACATGCGGTTCCCGCACCCAGGGCAGCGTTTTGTAGTTGCATAAGGAGCTCCACCGAAGGTCCCAGTGGCACAGCCTGTATGCGGTTCCCCTACCCAGGGCAGCGTTTCGTGGCCCCATGGGGAGCTCCACCGAAGGTCCCAGTGGCACAGCCCGCATGCGGTTCCCCTACCCAGGGCAGCGTTTCGTACCCCCATAGGGAGCTCCACCGAAGGTCCCAGTGGCACAGCACGCATGCGGTTCCCCCGCCCAGGGCAGCGTTTTGTAGCTACATAAGGAGCTCCACCGAAGGTCCCAGTGGCACAGCCCGTATGCGGTTCCCCCACCCAGGGCAGCGTTTCGTACCCCCATAGGGAGCTCCACCGAAGGTCCCAGTGGCGCAGTTCGCATGCGTCCCCCCCCACCCAGTACAGCGTTTCGTGGCCCCATCGGGGGCTCCACCGAAGGTCCCAGTGGCGCAGTTCGCATGCGTTCCCCCACCCAGTACAGCGTTTCTTGGCCCCATACGGGGCTCCCCCGAATGCGATACCCACAACTGCATATGGTTGGGTCCTTCGCCAGGCTAATATTTTTTGTTGTTGCTTTGCGATTTTGGGGAGTTCGTCAAGATCTGGTCGGATTTTGTTGACATCAGGACGAACTCTGGACGAAAGGACGGAGAGGGGTGGTCGAAATCCGGACGAAACCAGGTCGACATCACGCTCATGGCAGGGCCGTGGAGGTCCACACAGGCTCCCATGAAGGCTCACCACGTGGCCCGGCACTGCCTGGTCGGCTTGTCCTTCGCTGCCCTGGCGCCAGGGTCTTGCGCTCCTACCCCTCGGGGGTTGCCAGGGGTGGCCCTGGCCCGAGGCGGCCTCCAGAGCACCCCTCGCGAGGCCTGGAGGATCCCCCTGGGGCTCCACCTTGGGGGCCTGGGCCAGCTCCCGGGCCATCTCCGAGGCTGGTCCCAGGCCTCTTGGTGTGCTGGCCTCTTGGTGCCAGGAGCCGACGTCCACCGAGACCTGGACCCCGAACGACCCGGCGCGGTCCTGGCGTTGGTGGATGCGCTTCCCCTCCCGACCCCCTTCTCGGTATTAAATCGGGCACGTTCCTCTACAGGAGCGATATTCAAAGATAGTAAAACATTATCTTGACAAAGGACCCAGCCATATGCAGTTGTGAGCAGCGCAATTGTTGGTATCGTCCTCGGTGGAGCTCCTCATGGGGCACGAAACGTATGAGGGGTGTGGCAACACGGGGTGGTGTCATTCATGCGAGCGCAGTCACTGGGGCCTTCGGTGGAGCTCCCCATGGGGCCACGAAACGTGTGAGGGGTGTGCCGACATGGGTGCGGTGGTGCCATGCGAGCGCAGCCACTGGGGCCTTCGGTGGAGCTCCTTGTGGGGCCACAAAAGCGTGTGAGGGGCGTGCCGACATGGGTGCGGTGGTGTCATGCGAGCGCAGCCATTGGGGGCCTTCGGTGGAGCGCCCTATGAGGCCACGAAACGTGTAAGGGGTGTGCCGACATGGGTGCGGTGGTGTCATGCAAGCGCAGCCATTGGGGCCTTCGGTGGAGCTCCCTACGAGGCCACGAACCGTGTGAGGGGTGTGCCGAAATGGGTGCGGTGGTGTCATGCGAGCGCAGCCATTGGGGCCTTCGGTGGAGCTCCTTGTGGGGCCACAAAAGCGTGTGAGGGGTGTGCCGACATGGGTGCGGTGGTGTCATGCAAGCGCAGCCATTGGGGCCTTCGGTGGAGCTCCCCATGGGGCCACGAAACGTGTGAGGGGTGTGCCGAAATGGGTGCGGTGGTGTCATGCGAGCGCAGCCATTGGGGCCTTCGGTGGAGCGCCCTATGAGGCCACGAAGCGTGTGAGGGGGCCTTCGGTGGAGCTCCCTGTGGGGCCACGAAACGTGTGGGGGGTGTGCCGAACTCTGTGCGGTGGTGTCATGCGAGCGCAGCCACTGGGGCCTTTGGTGGAGCTCCCTATGTGGCCATGAAGCGTGTGAGAACGCTGTACTATACTGGGTGGGGGAAATGCAGGGAGGAGAGAGTAGGGGGAGGAAGGGGAGGAGGAGGAGGAGCAGGGGGAGGAGGAGGAGAGGAGGAGGAGGAGGAGGGAGGAGGAGGAGGAGGAGGAGGAGGAGGAGGTGAGGAGGAGGAGGAGGAGGAGGAGGAGGAGGAGGAGGAGGAGGAGTGAGGAGGAGGAGGAGGAGGAGGAGGAGGAGGAGGAGGAGGAGGAGGAGGAGGAGAGGAGAGGAGGAGAGCGCGGGGCGCCGTCTTTTCAAAACGAGGACCCAACACCATAGGATGGTGGGAAATAGTCCGGGGACGGTTTTTCGACTATTTTCGATTAGAGTATGATTTGACTATTTTTCCTTTTCCGTCCAAAATCCGTCTGTAGGAAGACATGCCCGATCTAACTACTCCGAGCCGTTCAACAGGCACCCTCCCCATACCGCTCCGCCCGACGGCCCGTCCCGGCCCCCCCGTGCGGACCTAGCTCACCCCCGAACGCTGCTGCCCCCCCCGCGCGCCCCGCGAGGACAGCCCTCTATGAAGCCCCCCACGCGATCCACGCCCTCGCTCCCACTGTCAACGGCGAGCGAGGAGGAGGAGGAGGAGGAGGAGGAGGAGGAGGAGGAGGAGGAGGAGGAGGAGAGGAGGAGGAGGAGGAGGAGGAGGAGGAGGAGGAGGGAGGAGGAGGAGGAGGAGGAGGGGGCGGGCCTTCTCCGAAGGCTCGGAAGTCCTCCGGCCTCCTGAGAAGTTTTCTGAGCCTTCCCCGAAAACAGGAAACTTCTCAGAAGGCACGAGGGCTTCTGAGAAGTCCCGCTGCCCTCTGAGGCTGCCCTCTCCTTCTTATCCTCCCCCCTCTCGCTCGCCGCCGACACTGAGCAGCTCGGAGCGCCTCAGCAGCCTTGGCTGCAGTGGTCGACCGTGCCTCGAGGCGCGTGCCTCGCTGGCGGGGGGGGGGCCTCCAGAGGCCGCCGCTGGTGGCCGGCAAGCCGGGGGCGTCGGGCTCGCGCGCTCGGCAGAGGCAGCTCGGTGTTTTCCCAGCTGTGATTCGGCATCGAAGACGCCTACGTCGAAGAGAGCCATCTTGGCCGTCTTGGGGGGCATCTTGGAGGCCATCTTGGGTCATCTTGCCCGTCTTGTAGGCGGCTTGGGCAACGAGAGACTTGTTTTCTCTGTCTCTCTGGGTGGCCGGCGGGATCGCTCGAGACCCCATTGGGAACCGTTAACAAAAAGGTTTCAGCCACAGCAGAATGAGGCACGCCAGGCGCTCTGCCCGACGGCTTGAGCTGACACCCCCACGCGAACCATAATCACCCCCCACGCGATCCAACCTCACATTCACCACGCCAGACGTCCCCACTCTCCCTCCCTATACGATCGCCTCCCCCACGCTTGTTAAGCAACTTCGAGTATTTGGCAGTAGGAGGGATGCGGAGGAGGAGAAGGAGTGACCCTGCCCTGGTTCCCCGTCTGGCGGCAGTCTCCACTGCGTCCTCGCGTCGAGCTTCCGCTCTCGACAACACTTTAGCACTGGATGAGGTAGCTCTGCACGAATTGTTCAGGTGTTCGAAGTGTTCAGGAGTTTCTTTTGTTGTTTTGTACAGTGCCGGTCCGCTCTTGCTGCATGGGGGGTGCGTTGTCGGAGTCTTTGCAGCAATTGTTCCATCAGCCTTGCATGGACAACTACTCATTCGACGATCCTGATCATGTCGACGCTTCATTGCGGTCGCTTGCGTGGGTCGACGGATGTGCAGGTGAAGTTCTGGCATGGTGACGCACCGCCCATTTTCAACCTCGACGGCGTGAGCTATATCTTCATCAAGAAGAACGGGCTGTGCGCCAGCCCTGACGCCCCAGCCGTCGGTACAGATGTCTTGCAGTCATGATGTCTCTGCCGCTACTGTCCCCTTCTAGAGCGAAGGGGAAAGCCGAGCAAGCTGGAGGAGATACATGGGCCATCTGGTACATGTGACGGCTTGGGTGGGGGGAGCATGTTTGAATGTGTGGAGCTAAATTGTAGAACATCGGGGTGCCGCCTGGTGTATTCCCTCGCCAGGCTAGGTTCCCCAGTGTGTAGGCGTAGAAAGGATCGATGGGTTATTGAATCGCTTCGCTCATTCCGCCGGCCCATTTCGCATGACTGAGCCTCTTGGGGCCGCTGGGGGGCCTCTTCAGCGTCGCTTGGGGGCCTCCTGAGGGCCTCTTGGGAGCTTTTGGGGCCTCTCAGGGGCCTCTTGAGGCCTCCTGGGGGCTTCTTAAGGCCGAGGGCTCGAAGTTTTGTTTTGTGTTCCCCCTTTGGGGCATCGCTTGGGGCCCTCTTGGGCCCCTCTTGGGCCGTCTTGGATGCCTCTGGGGCCGTCTTGGAGCCCTCTTGGGCCATCTTGGGGCCTTCTTGGGAGCTTCTTGGGCCCTCTTGGGGCGATCTTGGGGGCCTCTTGGGCCGTCTTGGGGCGTCGGGAAGCCGAAAAGATGGACTCGCCCAAATCTGCCCAAAACCTACGGAAAAGTAATGAATTTTGCCTCTTGGGGCCCTCGGGAGAGTGCTCTTGGAGGCCTCTTGGGGCGTCTGGGGGCCATCTTGGGCGTCTTGGAACGATCGTGTGGCCTCTCGGAGCACTCTTGAACCATCTTGGAGGGCTCTTGGCGGCCTCGTGGCCCTTCTTGGGGCTCTCTGGAGGGCCACGGGGGCGGCGCCCAGGAGGAAAACCATCTCTGACCCGAGTCTGCCGGGGATCGCCCGGGGTACTTTTCGTCCGGGGACCCCCAGGGGCCGCCCCGCGCGCGCGAAGTAGAAGTATTATTTAGCAGTTACCGGAGATCTTAGCACGCCTCTGGCCCGTTGGGCCGGCGAATTGTAACTGCTCGTTCGAACCTCGTCTCCCTGGAGGTGCCGTGTACGAGTAGTGTGTGAATGGAGGCAGCCAGGTGTGATGAATATCTGCCATCGTGGGCCCCGAACAGGCGCATGTCCAACCATTCACATATGTAAGGTCATGCAACACCAAACGATGGATATTAAGCATACTTACGCATCCTCTTGACTGCATAAGACATGTGGCTTGCGACTGAGCCTGATCGTAGGCATTTGTGTATTGGCGAGTGTGGGCATGGTTGCTCCCCAGCCAAAGCATTTACGGTGTTCGTACTCCTGACGGTGCTTTTAAATCTAGGGAACTAGCCCTGCCTTGCGTGGTCGGTCCTAGGTGCTCGGACCGCTGTCGCTTTCGGTGCTTGGACCGCTGTGGCCTCCTGCGGCCTTCTATGCCCCCCACCCACGGCCTCCTGCCCCACTGGCCATGTCTCCCATATTCGGCCGCATGGTGCTAGGGCCGCTAGGGCCTTCGGTGCCCTCTCCTCCGTGGTCTCCTGTGTCCTCTTCTGGACCCCTCTGGCCTCTCGCCCCGCTGGCCCCGTCTCCGGCTGGGCCGTACATGCTCGGCCTGCCTTTGGCCCCCTGCGCCCCCCCTGTGGCTGCAAGGCCTCCTATGGCCTGGGCCTCCTGCAGCTGCTTGGCCTCATACAGCGTGGCCTCCTGCATGCTCCTACGCCTCTACGCGCGTTGCTCCAAACATCGCGGGGCCCATGCGCTTGCATCATGTCGGCGTCTTGTTGTAATTTCTTTCTCCGATCGGCGGAAGCGCTCCCGCCGCCCCCCACATCGGTGGAGTGGTTCGGGGCTGCTTTGGGCACCTGCTTCAATGAATGGGACCAGGCACGGGGGCCGCTCCCCCTCCCCCGTGGAAACTCGAGACGCTGATGTGCGCAACTGTGCGTCATTGCTTTCCACGCTTTTTGGAAAAGCAACGGAGGGGCTTCGGGGCGCCAGACGCGATCACAAACACAAATATAACCGCCAGTCTCGGTTATTATCAAATTTGCCCGTCCTGGTCTGGCTGCTGTCTGAGCGTTTTGGATTTTAATGTTCGCTGTTTTTTCGTGGTCTGACTGTTCCTTGATCTTTTTCATTTTCACGGAAGTCTGCATCGTATCGAAGTAGACGAATGGTCGAGAGACAACCAGAAATTCCGAGTCTTGGCCTCGCGCATTGAACCAGCGTTGCGTTTTTTACCTAACAGCGAAGACTGATAGGTTTCTAGTGGTGTCAAAAGAGAGCAGCAGATGACTCCACAGGGGGGTCGGGGCTGGACCCGGGGCGGCTGCCGCCGAAGCCGAAATCGCTTGGGACATCCTCGCAAAATCGCTCTTGGCGCTGCTAGAACTCCATTCCCGGCGTACATGTTGGATGCCCGGAGCCAACTGTAGGCCACTTCGTGATCTTCGAGTTCCCAGAACTCCATTCCCGGCGTACATTTTGGATTCTCGGAGCCAACTGTAGGCCACTTCGTGGTCTTCGAGTTCCCAGAACTCCATTCCCGGGCCACATTTTGGATGCCCGGAGCCAACTGTAGGCCACTTCGTGGTCTTCGAGTTTCCAGAACTCTATTCCTGGGCATGATTTTGAATGCCCGGAGCCAACTGTAGGCCACTTCGTGTTCTTCGAGTTCCCAGAACTCCATTCCCGGGCCACATTTTGAATGCTGAGGCAGGCTGATGCTGAGGCTGAGGCAGGCTGAGGCTGAGGCAGGCTGAGGCTGAGGCCGAGGCTGAAGGCAGACTGAGGCTGAGGCTGAAGCAGGCTGAGGCTGAGGCTGAGGCAGGCTGAGGCTGAGGCTGAGGCAGGCTGATGCTGAGGCAGGCTGAGGCTGAGGCTGAGGCTGATGCAGGCTGAGGCTGAGGCAGCCTGAGGCTGACGCCGAGGCTGAAGGCAGACTGAGGCTGAGGCTGAAGCAGGCTGAGGCTGAGGCTGAGGCAGGCTGAGGCTGAGGCAGGCTGAGGCTGAGGCTGAGGCAGGCTGAGGCTGAGGCTGTGACTGTGACTGCCGTTGCCACTGCGACTGTCATCGCGAATGCGACTACGACTGCGAGAACAGCAGAATTCTACAACTGGATTCTCATCTGAATCGTAAGGGGAATGCTTCCAGATATGCTCCTACACATCGCTGTTAGGTTGCTTTGCCGGGATAATTTGTTCAGTGCGCTGTTTCCCGAACCCTGCGTTGCTTCAAGTTCTTTGGCAGAATCCAGCATGCCCGCTTGATTCAATCATATTGAATAAGCACGGGTACGGAGCCTGACCCCCCCTCCTTCGCCCTTCGGCAGAATGCCAGACGTCGGAATACAAAACGCTCACCACAAGCGCAATCATGCCGATACGCGTTCTTTCGCTTGTGACACCGGCGCGTGTACCCGAAACATTCGGCCCATCGCACCACCGCGCCGGGGTCGTGGACACGTGACCTCATAGAGGCCTCTTGGGGTTTCCCTTTTCAAGGGCATCTGCCATGTTCAGTGCAGAGAACCTTGAGGCATCTGAGGACACTCCACTTCGTGCCTCGCGGCACGGTGGCGGATAGGCGGGGCCCTGCGGGCGGGGCCGTTTGGGCGGGGCCGAGCACCAGCAACCCTGAACAGGGACCCTACATGTTCCCATGGGCGGGACCCTGTCGACGACGGCCAGGGAGGATCCACATTGCAGCCTCGGGACCACGTGTCAAGGGAGGAAAAAGCAGCCAGATGATCCCGACAGTTGGCGTTTACTAAACGGCCCTGGGCGTGTACTGAGCAGCCCCGCCCTGTTCGACGATTCCTTCCCTGGGCGCGTTGACTAAACGGCTTCGCTTGCCGGGGTGCTCATTATCGGGGTGGATTTCCTGCCCTCCAGTTTGGGCCAGACACTATGTGTAGAACCCCGTTCGGGTGTTGCTAGAAGGGCCCCTGGCCCGAGGTGCCCCCCAGGATTTCCAAGGAGGCCCCCACGGCCTCCGGAACATCCCCCACGAGGCCCGGAGGGTCCCAGGGGCTCCAACATCGAGCGAAAAGCTGGGGGCACCCTGGGCCAGGGGCACCTTCAGCACACCCCGGCCCTGCGCCTGGGAGCACACCCGCAGCCTTGCCACGGGACCCTTCTCTGGGCACGCCCCACGGGCGGGACGCTGTCGAACGCAACGCCTGCTACGGGACCCCGCCGATGAGAGTCCAGGGGGGCGGGGGCTGGACTCCGTGCGCGGCGGCCGGATTCCCTCAGGCTTGCCACGGGTCTCTGGGGACGGGGTCCCGCGGGCAGGCCTCCTCCTCCTCCTCCTCCTCCTCCTCCTCCTCCTCCTCCTCCTCCTCCTACCTCCTCCTCCTCCTGCTCCTCCTCCTCCCCCTCCTGCTCCTCCTCCTCCTCCTCCCTCCTCCTCCTTCTCCTATCTCCTCCTCCTCCTGTTCTCCTCCTCCTCCTCCTGCTCCTACCTCTTCCTCCTCCTCCTCCTGTTCCTCCTCCTCCTCCTCCTCTCCTCCTCCTTCCTCTCCCTTCCTTCCTCCCTCCTCCCTCCTCTCCCTCCTCCCTCCTCCTCCTCCTCCTCCCTCCTCCTCCAGCTCCTACCTCCTCCTCCTCCTCCTCCTCCTCTCCTCCTCCCTCCTTCTCATCCTCCTCCTCCCTCTCCCTCCTTCCTCCTCCTCCTCCCTCCTCCTCTCCTCCTCCTCCTTCAGCCCTTCTCTCCTTCCTCTTCTTCCTCATCCCTCCTCCCTCCTCCTCCTCCCTCCTCCCTCCTCCCTCCTCCCAGCCTCCCCTCCTCCTCCTCATCCTTCCTCCTCCTCATCTCCTCCCTCCTCCTCCCTCCTCCCTCCTCCTCCTCCATCCTCTCCTCCTCTCCTCCTCCTCCCTCCTCCTCCTCCTGCTCTTCCTCTTCCTCCTCCTCCTCCTGCTCCTCCTCCTGCCACCTGCCGCTGGCAGCTGAAGCTCAGCAGGGGCCCTGCCGCAGGGCCCTGTGGGCGGGCCCCCGCGGGCCTG